GAACACAATAACCAAATCTGCAATAACTTGGAGGATGAACCGGTTGCTGATCCCAATACAGCAGCTTAGACCCCTCCTGAACCTAACCCATAGTGCCTGAAGTACAACCAGAAAAGGCAGTGTCATCAGAAGGCCTGTCGGATACAGAGAGTCTTGCAAAAAAAAAGGAACAAATACATGTAAATATTTTTATCACTTTGGGATTTTTTTTGTTTTTTACAAATGTTATGAAAAAAAAACCAAAGAAGTTATTTAATTAACTATGTTCTCTAAACAAGGAGGGCATGATAGTCCAAAATTTTGTAATTTGGCCAAGCAGACCTTGGCGATGCGTGAAGCATAAACCAACCTTATAACCCTTTGATGCACCCGCAAAAGATACACAGCTCCTGAATTAGTCCCGCAACCTTCAGCTTGTACAAAAAAGTGTTACCTTGAAATAGGCAGAGTGGAGCTCTCAGTGAATGTGGTCTGGTCTGATGCTGATCCTGCAAACAGTTCATCCAACATGAACTTGTTGGTCTGCTCTGTTCCATTATCAGCCTGGTGTCGAGACTGGGCCATCACCTCACTGTTTTCCTCATCAAACACCTGAACATTGGTAAACAGTCATGCATTAGCATTAAGCTCCTTAATATTTAAGTGCAGTAAACACTACAGCTGCACTGTGCAACTTTTCTGGAAAAGTTTCTAAGATTCTAAAGGCCCTTGACTGGGGGAAGAAGAAGAAAAGATATGTCCTAATATATATATATTCCAAATATAAAAAGAAAAGCAGTAAAAAAATATTTATGTTTGTGTTCTCCCTGATTTTTCAGCAGTAATCGGAACCCTAAAAAGAAAGCAAGAATATATGAATATATTGACCAAGCCAAGCTCCCAGCCGCCGCAACCCCACCCCCCCAAGTTTGGATGAGGTGATCAATTACCCTAGGTGGGCGTGGCCGTTTTTTAAATTAAGTAACGTTCATTTTAATAACGGCAACACTAACTGTTAATATCAATGTGTGTTTTGTACCATGGTTTTTCTCCCACACTTTAAATTTGATCACTGCTGCATTTTATGGAATGGAAATTTTCATTTACTGTCTGAAAGCTGATCTAAACAAAATAAAAAAATTGTATACACTCTGTGTGTACAAAATGACAATAAAAGTTGTCTAAATCATTGTTACTGGACTGCATTAAAAAAGATGGGAGTATAGCCAGTTCTCCACGGACTCCATCAGTTACCCAATCAGCTTGTCCCGGTGTTGGATCCGCCGTCTTGTTGACCTGAATGGAAGTTGGTCTGCTGAACGACCGGAGCAAACTGCTGCTCAAAACATGAAAGCAGTAAAGTTACTGCTAATAACTATCGACACAAAGAGAGTCTCAATGTTTACAAACTCAGCTGCCTACTTACGGCCGTAGCATTACTGTGCATCTCTTCTTTTTCTCCTCCTTTGCTTCCGAGGTAGACATGCTGAAATGATTCCTGTGCGTCTTGTTTCCTTGGCAACCGGAGATCAGGTCAGTAACGAGGGCAAATACTGCCCCCTGTCGACTGAATAGAGAACTACTTTCATGGTGCGCAGCAGCTCTGTAAAAATACTCCTTTAATCCCAGTAGTTTTCTTAGCATCTTTATTCAGATGAATGAAGAATTTGATTTAATTAAGTAACATACAAATGTGTCCTTTGTACAGCTCAGCTTTCTGTTTTTGTAAAATATACAAAAAACTACCAAAGAGGATAAGGGCCACTGGAAAAAAAAATTAACTGATTTTTAATTTTTATTTCAGTTTAACATGGGCAAAAAGTCAGAATTCTGACTTTAATCTCAGAATTCTGACTTTGATCTCAAAATTCTGACTTTAATCTCGGAATTCTTACTTTTTTTATTGTCAGAATTCAGTCAGAATTCTGAGATTAAAGTCAGAATTCTGAGGAAAAAAGTCAGAGTCAGAATTCTGAGAAAAAAGTCTGAAATAAAATTTAAAAATCAGTTAACTTTTTTCCAGTGGCCCTAATCCTCTTCCATAAAAAACAGCTATTACTGAAAAAAAGTTATTCAACAAACTTTGTCAAGATTGAGAGGATGAAAATAACAGAATTGCTCAATTTTGAAGAGTAAATTGTGAGTCTAACTGTATTTAAAAGCAACTATGGGCATCATACAGGACCAACGGCATATAACACTGAGAACAGAATAGAACAATGGAAGAGTAGAATAAATATACAGGTTTAAATAAATGCATGTTTATTAATGTGATTCACTGAATGTGCAGAAAGTACCAGTAGGATAATGTATAACAGGCCTGCATTTGTCCAGCTGGATAAATAAACAGTATATCCCATAAAAAAAGAAGGAAAATGGAAAACCCTTCCGTTAAAAAACAACAATAAAAAACAGGTAAGGTAAACATTGCGCTACAGGTGTGGTTGGACAAGGGGTCTAGATTTGCTTATTACATTACTTAACAATTTTCTTATCAACTGTGGGATGCAAGCCAATATTAAATATGTTTATTTTACTTTTTACTGCCTCCTGTTTTCACTTTATCTTACGAATCATCTTCAAACTTGGAAACAAAGTCCAGTGGATTGTTTGTTTTTTTACTTTTTTGGAATGACTATGGCCTGGATGACTGAGAACCTTCACCAGCAACTAATCTTTCTGCAGGCTTTTTCATTTCTGGACCTGGATTATCCACCTCTGGTTACTCAGACAACCCAGATTTACTAATATACGTTGAACTGTATGCATGTAAAAGCTTTAGAAATTTTAAAAAGGCTTAGACACAAAGTGACAGAAAATTCTTCAAAACAATGTTCTAATGAAGCTGACAAAACTGATCCTCATCTTAATCATCTCTCCAGACTCAGCACTTAATTTTTCGGATCAATCAAATTGATTCAATCCATCTATCAGACAGAAAACAATGTTTTCAGGTGTCCAACAGTAAATCACTGTACCCTCCAAATTGGCATAAACGTGCTGCATTAATGCTGGACTCTTATCGGTCAATAAACAAAATATAGCCGTTAATCTTTTCTCAAAGTAGGGTTGGGAGCGAGGTCTATACCAGTAGTGATGCTCGAATCAGTCTGCTCAAAATAGCTTAGATCTTTTTGAAACATAGGTGTCGCTGAGAAGCGTTTGGGGCTTATCCCTGACACCTGACGAGGTTTCATTATGTCACAACTTGTTTCAAGCTGCTCAGAAATTTGAATATTCTGGGCGTTTCAACCATAGACATTTATAGGTATATAATGTATGTTTTCGACACTACTGGTCAAGTGGCTGGTGAATATTCTCAGTCATCCAGGTCATACTCATTCCAAAACAAAGTTAAAAACAGACCAATGGACTTTTTTTTTCCAAGTTTGGAGATGTTTAGCTTCCCATACATCCTCAAGTATTTAAATAGCATCAGAATCAAGGCTCACACCATGGGATTCTAGAGGGGGAAATTGTTTTGCTAGTGATTTATTATTGACATTAATAGTTTATAGCTAAGACAGGTAAAGTATTTATATTTTTTAAGAATATTGGTTAAGTTCATCCACCAGCTTAGCTCCACCCAGTTTTCATTATCACTCATCAAATCCACCTTTAGTGACAGATTATTCAAGTCGTAGGTGAGAGTTCTCTAGCATACTCAGTGTGTTAATCTCAGTGCCTAATCCTAAATGGTTTCTGCTCCTGGACTTCTGAGTTTACCTGCCCCTGTTTTGATCTTTTTGCCTGACCTCTCCCAATGGTCATGTCAAGATGGCAGCGGCTGCTTGTAACTTCCAGAAACCCGCAAGAATTTTCAACCAAATATGCCATCTAGAATGTTATAAACTATGAATTGATCCAGTAGGTTATATTATATGAATATTGGAAGTTCAGTTTAATATAATCCAAGTATGTGAATAGTTCCATCTAAAATGAATGAAAACTGTTGTTTTAATGGTTATTGAGTCAGATACGTGGCGGGAAATGTTTGATTCATCAAAAGGTTTTTACAGTATCTGTTACTGTGTAAATGGGTTTGGCTGTAATTTAAGGAGAGACATATCTGCAGGGTGGGGAATATAAATCTGATTTATTTTTTATTGCTATTTTGCTCAATTTGCTCAACTAAGTATTTGTTGTCATTGAATATAAGAACTCTAGCAGGTATATTTTTTATACATACATTGTTTAGATTTACTTATTACTTTCTACCCCTTTTACAGAATAGAAAATATCTTTATTGTCCCAGAATGGTATTAGTGAAGAGTAAAAAAAAAAAACAATAAAATACTTTACTGTAAATTGTTTTTAACAATATAAAACTGTCCACCTGGAGAATAAATAACCAATAAGCAGCTATGGACATTTTTACAGTAATGGATATTTGAAAATGGCAGCAACTTCAGAGATTTAAAGGGGAGCAGTTGAATTGTACTTAAAGGGAAACGCCGTTTTTTTTACATTGAGCCCTTGATTTTACGTTATTACATCATGTTCTACACACTCCGCTTTGTTTCAAAAGATATAAATAATATAACCACGGATGTCTGGGGGACAGTGATTCGCCTACATGTTATGAATGCTGGCGTACCAAAAAGAATAAATCATGAACAGTTTAGTTTGTGCCTTCAACTCGTTGCCCATAGGAAGAAGTTACTTGGATATAATCTAAAGGAATATCTTCAGAACGGCTCCAAATGACTCAAAACTCATATGGGTGAGTAGAATATGATGTAATAACGTAAAATCAAAGGCCCATTGTAAAAAAAAAACACGGCGTTTCCCTTTAAGTACAATTCAACAGCTCTGGAAATGTCCTCTAGCCTCTTTGGCAACAGTTTTCATGACAGGACTACAGTTTACATCACAAGTTTTGTGCTTGAAAAGGGCCACATCCAAATAAGTTAAAAGACAATCCTGAAAAAGCTTCCCATACAGTTCAAAATGTCAGAAATAGCATTAACTTCAAGTCGTTGCCCATAGGAAGATGTTACTTGGATGTAACCTAACGTCCGGCTCAGCAACCCCAAACCCAGGATTTTAATGATTCATACTATTTTCCTTGAAGCCTCACCCACCAGCTCCAGCTTTTTTTCTAACAGCTAACATGTAGAAACTCATCTGTTCAACTAAACCTGAATGAAAAAAACAATGCAATTGAAGACATGTTCATTAATCATTCTCTAAACATTTTAATAGCATTAAACAATGTATATAAAGAGCTTGACATTGTATGAAAATATTGGGAAAACATAAAGAAAGTCATTTTCATGGTCAGTGAGGTTTTTATTTGCTTCATCAGTCAAGATGTAACATTAATGGAAAGGATCCACAGTAAAACATAATGCAAAAAACACAGTTGTAAAAAACAGACCATAGTTTCCCCTTAATCACTGTTGGTAAATAGAACATCCAAAGAATCAATAATAAAACCACCAGAATTAGTTGAAAGGAGAATTTAATCTTTAAAAAATGCAAACAATAAACTTCTTGAGACCTGTTAGACTTCTTTTAATTCACAATTTTTTTTTGTTTTTCAAGATTATTCTCCATTACCTGATAAAGCCAGTCTTTGAATAAAGCACTGTAAATCCAAATGTTAAAACTAATTAAATATTCTGTTTATTTAGCTCTGTTAATTTAAATGTGTTAAGGTATTGTGTTGTTGTTCAAGTACATTTAACTCTATGGTTTGGTCTAAATAATTAGTGTATTATTTAAGCATAACTTAAATTTCTGAGGAAGTACTTCCTCAGAATTTGACGATAAGACCTCATTAGCTGATTGATTGACAGTGGGTGTGGCTAGGTCTGCAGTAATGTTGCCCTTAGATTTAATGAGAACTGTTAAATGCTGCAATCCTCCAAATCCGAGACCATGGTCTTGAGCTGGAAAAGGTTAGATTACAAACACTGCCCTAAGTGTTTGTAATTTTTTTTTTAAGTCAGTATCAATGAAAAATTAAGATTACACTGAAGGGGTGACAAAAAAATAAAATAAATTACAGTCAACTTCTGTTTGTTACCTTCTGCCCCTACGTTTAAAAGACTTCTCCCCTGTGTGAGTTTTCATGTGGCTATTCAATAAAGCTCTTCTTTTGAATGTTTTTCCACAGCTTTTACAGGAAAATGGCCTTTCATCTGAGTGAGTTGTCATGTGAGAAGTTAACTGACTCTTTTGTGCAAAATTTTTGCCACAAGTTGCACAAGAGAATGGTTTCTCACCTGTGTGAATTCTGTTGTGTGCATCAAGATTGAATTTAATATTGAAGCTCTTTCCACAGGACTGACATTCATACATCTTCTGCCCTGTGTGAGTTCTCATGTGTTCTTTCAAAACATCTTTTCTTTTGAACATTTTCCCGCAGGTCTTACAGGAAAACGGCCTTTGATCCGAGTGAGTTGTCATGTGAGAAGTCAACTGACTTTTTGTGGTAAAATTTCTCTCACAGATTCTACAGCAGAAAGGCTTCTCACCTGTGTGAACTCTGATGTGTCCATCAAGAAAAGACTTATTGATGAAGCTTTTCCCACAGGACGGACATTCATAAATCTTGCCACCTGTATGAGTTCTCATGTGAACTGTTAAATGTGTTTTTTTTAGAAAGCTTTCTCCACATCTCAAACATTGGAAAGGTTTCTCTCTGCAGTGACTTTTCAAGTGCAGAATCAGGTCCCGATTTTGAGAAAAAGAATCACCGCAAATTGTACAGGAGAACAAACTTTTATCTGTGAGGGTTTCCTTGTTCCTTCTGGGTTTTAAACCATTAACACTGTTTTTATGTTCTCTGGTTTTCTGACATTTGTTATAATGTCTGGGTCCTTTATCTTGCTCTGATCCAGAGTCTGTTGGATGGATTTGTTCAGGATCCTGGTTCTGAATATCATAAAAGTCCTGAGAGATGACTGGGTTCCTGGTTGATTCTGGTTCAATGTGGTACTCTTCCACAAGAGTAGGGTTCACCATCAATGTGTCTCCAGTCTCCTTCTTCAAAAAAAGCTGCTCTTTATGGTCACTTATTGGAAGCTCCATGGTTTCCTCTTTTGTCCAGGGATGCTCTGGCTTCTGCTGCT